GAAGGAAAGGAAAAAAAGGAGCCAGGGCTCCTAGGAGAAATGGATGATTGGAAAGTTAAAATACAAGATAATCTTGGAACACTTGCAATGCCAGAAAGTAAGAAAATGCTAAGGAAAAAAACAATGATGATGAGGGCATGCCAAAAGGACACAGCTGTTACCCTAACGGTGCTCTCCATGGCCAAGATGGAACAATTTGAGCAAGAAAATAAATAATGATGATATAGACTTACAATCCACAGATGAAAATAATGCGTACATACTAATATAAATAACGAATTGACTCAATCAATACAAAAAAAAGGAGAAATGGAATACTTGCATGGTTTCAAAGTAACTCCCCTCAAGATACATACTAATCACAAAAGGAAACTAGGAACTTTCCAGTGTTGATACCTGGCAGACACCACCTTCGCCAAGGGATCAAGGTAAATATCGGTAGCAATGAGACCTACCAATATCACGGGCCATCAATCAATTTCCCCGAGAAAGGCTCAGTGTCACTTCTGTGATAGTCCTGCCCCAAATGCATGACCTCAATCTGGTCATGAGAAAACATCAGATAAACCCAAATGAGGGACAGTCTATAAGAACCTGAGCAGTGCTCTCTAAAAGTTTCAAGGTCACCGCCTGGCCAGACCTGGCTCAGCGGTTGAGGGTCGACCTGAGATCCAGGCAATCGGGGTTCGATTCCCAGTCAGGGCACATGCCCGGGTTGCGGGCTCCATCAATGACTCTCTCATCATTGATGTTTCTATCTCTCTCTCTCCCTCTCCTTTCCTCTCTCTGAAATCAATAAAGATTTTTAAAAAAAAGTTTCAAGGTCACCAAAAAGCAAAGAAAGACTAAGGAGCTATGACAGATCAGAGGAGATGTGAAAACTACATGAGTTGTGACACCTTGGATTGCATCGTGGACCGGAAAAAAGGCATTTGTAGAAAAACTGGTCACACTCCAATAAGGTCTGCAGATGAGTTACGAATGTTCATTTGCTGGTCCCATAACTGTACCATGGCTATATGCAGGCTGCTAACATGCGGGAAAGCTGGAACGCCCCAGAATATAGAGGAACTGTACAATTGCAACTTTTCTATAAACGTAAATATATTTCAAAAGAAGAAGGGTTTTTTTGTGTGTGTGTTTCCCAAAAAAAGGAGTGATGGATAGTATTTCCTCATACAAAGAAAGTTAGGAAATAGAAAGTAGTTGAAAAAATTTCAACCATAAGCCTGAGATGGAAAATAACCACGGCCAAAAGGCTGAGTCTGTTCAGTATGAATAATTTAAGAAAACTTCCCTGAACACTGAGGATGCTCAAAGAACCTTCCTTTTGAGAAGAGCCGTCCTACGGAAAATTGCCTCCCCCCTCCACCCACTGCCTCCCGCCATCCCTTCTCCATCTCTTTTGCTACTTTCTTCATTGCACCATCCCCACCTAGCATGCTATATAATTTATTTATGGTGTCTCTTGTGTAGTCTGTGACCCTCTCCACTGAAACGACACCCCACGAGTAGAGGTGTTTCTTTTGTCCACTGATGTACTCCAAGGGCTTAAATTAGTCCTTGGGTGAAGGAGGCTGTCAAGAGGCCAAATCTTGGACTTTGAATACTTAGGAGTAAAAAATCCTGCAAAGATGGGAAAAGAGAGGCACCATGTGCTGCCAGCAGTCAGTGGGTCCTGCTACCTGGATGCAACGCCGGGGCCCCCCAGGGTTTGGAGCTGGGGGCAGAGGTAGTTTGCTTATTCAAGAAATGACACGTTCCAAAAGCCGCGATGCTTAACAGGAGCCGGAGGTCTAGCCCATCACCTCTGAACCTCATCTGAGGCTAAAGCGAACAGCTGCAAGAGCGAAAATCCCAGACTGACAGTGATCCCTGGAGGCTGCATTGGTTTGCCAGGGCTGTGTACTAGGTACAAAGTCCCACAGACTGAGTGGCATGAACAGCAAGATGTACTGTTTCCTAATTCTTGAGGCCAGAAGTCTGAGATCAAGGTGCCCGTGGGGTTGGTCCCACCCGAGGGCCGTGAGGATCTGTTCCATTCTTCCCCCCTAGCTGCTCTGGTGGGTGCCCAGCAACCTTTAGCGTTTCTTGACTTATAGAAGCATCGCCCCAGTCCCCACCTACATCTTCACATGGTGCCCTCCTGTGTGTGTCTGTGTCCAGATTCCTCTCCCCTCCCCTTTATTTTTAAAGGACACTCTTTCCATTGCTTTCCAGAGAGAGTGGAAGGGAGAGAGAGATAGAGAGAGAAACATGGATGTGAGACACATCGACTGGTTGCCTCCCGCACCTGCCTCGGCCAGGGTCAGGGATAGAGCCTGCAACTGAGGCATGTGCTCTTGGCCGGAATCGAACCCAGGGCCCTTCAGTCCTCGGGCTGGCACTCTAACCACTGAGCAAAACCGGCAGGGCCAGATTTCCCCTTTTTATAAGGACACCAGTAGTAATATTGGATTAGGCCCAGCCTAATAACTTTATTTTAACTAGTCACATCCTCAAAGGCTCTATTTTCAAATAAAGTCACATCGGAGACACTGGAAGTTAGGACTTTAACATAGGAATTTGTCAGGGGACCCAATTCAACCCAATACAGGTCTAGCACTTGAATGAAATTGTATCTTAGAGGCGAAAGCTGCCTAGAAGGCTCTTAGCATAGATTAGGTTATGCTGTGGTCACTACCAAGCTCAGTGGTCAGTGATATAAAATAAAACTCCTTTCTCTCTAAGTCCACTGAGGACCTGTGGGCCTCTCCAGGGCAGGCTTTCTCCATGCCCTGCCGCAGGGGTCCCGCCCCGGGTCCACCTGTCTCCTGGGCCTGCGCACCTGGACGGGTGCCTGGGGAAGACGGGGCACAGGGGGGGCGTTTACGAGCCCCACGACCTCTGCCACGCTGGCTCCTTGGGGACTGGTGTCAGGGAGTGTTTACTTGAGGCCATGGAAGCCAAATTCTTAGCATGTATTGGAAGGCAGGGGCAACGCTATTTGCTTTGGGGATTAACGCTGCGGCCTCTGTGTCCCTGATGGTTGAAGAAGAGCAATAGATCCGGGAAGCTCTGGCCAGTGAGGACGGGGTAAGGTGGAGGCAGTGCTTTAGGGTGACCTCCCGGGCGGTCTCTGGCTCTTTCCAGAAGGGGAGGAGAAAAACAAAGGGGAGCGAGAAGGGAAGGTGGAGGCGCTGGCCCAAGTCAGGAGGAAGGGACCATCTGCCTCACTGCACCCCTTTCCCTGCTGGGGCCCATAGGGGGGCAGACCAGTCCTCAGCACCCCCCAGAGGCTCACATTGGTCCTGGCACTTTGTAGAGGTTGAGTATGTACTTCTGGTGAATGAATGATTGATGGGATGAATGAATAACAATAAATGCCCCCTTTTTTTAAAAGCCCCCCTTTCTATACCCAAACGCCACATTCAGCCCAAGAAAGCAGCGATCGTCCCTCAGTCAGTGGTCCCGCTGGCCATGCAGATGAGTCACAGCCTGCAGCACTAGCCACCCCTGCCCCGCCCCATCACCAACACGGTTCCTGGAAGGTGACTGGTGCTCACACCCAGTGCCAGTTATGAGCATGTGCTCAGTCAGGAATGAGGCCCCTGGGAAAGATTACAAAGTAATCTAAACTTCTGGCATCAGCTAACAGGACATAAAGTTTTTCCATCCTCAGCTCTGTCCTGCCAACTAATGAGGGGAAGAAAAGGGGATGGACCAGGGGTATGGGCCTGCCAAACTTTGAGTCCACCAACTGGCTGCACTCTGGGCCCATTTGCGTACCCACCAGCTCCCAACCTCCCCAAGGGACAGCTATTTAAGGGGAGCTGGAGTTCAGAGTACACAAGACCGTCACTTGGAGCTATCAATTCCGACGTCCTCTGAGAGGTAAACACCCTGGAAATTCATGCCCTGTCAGGAGTGTGAGTCCCTGCTTGTTGGCTGACTTTAAGAGAGGCTGTGTTGTACAAATGTGTGCATGTGTGCTTATGTGTGTGTATGTTGCATGCATGAACATAAACATGCATGCACATGATTTGGGGGTTTGCACAGTGTGTTGTGTGGGTATGTGAGTGTCTTGTATGAAAGGAGGTCTGCGCTAGCCGGCGAGCTCAGGAACGTGTGTATGCATGCATATGTGTGTGAATATATATGCATTTTGCATGTGTATATGTACATGTAAGGGATTGTAAGTCTTTCAAAGAGATGGTGCTGTGCTTTAGTTTGGGAGAAAAATATTGGGGATTGGACTCCATGGATGAAATTCCCAAGCCTCGAATCCAGTTGGAACGAGTAAGATATTTCTAATGGGGGGCACACAGCCTGTGACCTTGGGAATCTCCCAGTTAGTAGGGATGACCTGGTTGTGACCTCCAGGGACTCTCAGTCTGATGGGAGCATGGAGGTCTCCTTAGTGTACCATGTGGGGGTCTCGTTGGGTCTGAGGCCTGCATGTGTGTCAAAATTTTCAACAGAACTGGGAAGGGTCAGGAGGTCATGCTTGTGCACACTCATGTGATCCGTGTGTGACGAAGGTAGTTATCCTGGATTGAGGAGCATGTTTGTGTGTTCCCTTGAAGATTTCTTTCTCCAGGGTTGCTGAGTGTGAGCCAGAGAACTGGGGGCCAGGACAGAAGCTGGGACTACCTGGGAGTTTATGCCAATCCATCTGCATTTCTCCAGCAGGGAACTGTCCACATGAAGACCCTTCTGTTGTTGGCCTTGATCATGGCCTTTGGTAAGAGCAGACCCTGACCTCTGGCCACAAGGTGCAGCCCGAGATGGAAACACCCTCAACCCCAGCTTTCCTACCCATTTCCGCAGACCCTCTCTCAGTGCGTGGGAGAGAAGCCATGAGGGAGGGAGAGAAACAGAGAGGGGCAGGGAAGGAAGAAGACACAGGGCTCTGGGCCCCATCACCAGGCGATTTCCTTCCAGGCCTGCTGCAGACCCAAGGGAGTTTGTGGGATTTCCAGAAAATGATACGGCAAGTGACAGGAAAGGGAGCTGCATCCAGTTACGGCTTCTATGGTTGCTACTGTGGCCTTGGCGGCCGAGGATCCCCCAAGGATGCGACGGATCGGTGAGACCACCCCAGCCCTCCTCCCCTCTGCCCACTCGTCGCCCCCGCAGGGCTGAGAGATGCCAGGGCAGTGCTGGTGCCCACCATCACAGAGCCCCAGGAGGTCCCGGCTGGAAAAGCAGTCATTGCATTGGAAACTCTGCTCTAGAGCATTGCAAGGTCACTGGGTCTCTGCCCAGGGTCAAGAGGGTGAGACCACGGGGCACCAGGCTCCCTGGAGCTGTGGGGAGGCAGCCCCAATACTGTCCTCTCACCACAGGTGCTGCGCCGCACATGACTGTTGCTACAAACGGCTGCAGAAGCGGGGCTGTGGCACCAAGGCCCTAGGCTACAGCTTTACTTACCGCAAGGGCCAAGTCATCTGTGGTAAGGGAGTCCTCCAGCTTCTCGCCTTCTCCTAGGTTTCTCTTACTGAGTGTCCGTTGTGCCAGGCACCGTGTTGGGCACCAGAGATAGAGATACAAAGGGACAGTGTCCCTGCCTCAGGGAGCTCACAGGTGAGTGGGGAGGAAAAATGAACACACGAGATGGGAGACTCCAATAGGACGTAAGCAAAACGCAGGCTGAGGTTCGGGAAGGCTGAGACATCTATGCTGAGTCTCCAAGGCTGTGCGGGGCATCAGGGGAGACGAGGGTTTGGGGGCCTTCCTACAGGAGGGCTCAGCAGGGTCCAAGCAACCCAAGGGAACTGGAACAGTTCTGTGAGGCTGAGGAGAGGGAGTGGTGAGAGGTGGTGCTGAAGGAATGGGGGGCTAGATCGAGCCCAAGGCCGTATAGTATTTGGATTTTGTCCTAGAGCTGTAGGGAGCTCTTGAGCAAAGGAGTGACAGGAACAGGTTTGCATTTGGGAGGACTCACCCTGGCTGCAGGGTGGGCAGAGATTGATGGAATTGGGGGGGGAGGGGCAACAATGAGACCATCGCCATTGGACATATGACAATGGTGGTCTTGATGGAAGGGGTGGAGAGTGACATTAAGGTGCATTTCAGGTAGAATCAGCCGAGCTTGGTGATTGACTGGGAAGGGGCATTGGGAGCTGTTGGGTGGGTACAGCTGTGTGGAATGAACAGGAGGTGGTCCTGGGG